CACACACACACACACACACACACACACACACACACACACAGAATGTGTAATAGCATTCCTGCACCAACTGGCTCTGAGAAGGTTCTGTCAGGGCCTCTCTCCTATCTTCAGTTCTCACTGGTTGCCAGCCCTAAGCTCCTGAGTTGATGGTTGGGAGTATAACTCTTTCTGCATATAAACTCTTATTTCCCTCCCAGACAGGACTTACCCGACCAGCCTGTTGACTGTCTTATGGTGTGCTCATGGGACTGGCCCACAGAAATAGCAGGTTGTTAGGAAATAAGTAGTAAGGAATTACTAAGAGCAAATGTACTCAAATTGTCAGTTTTATGTGTCTACCTTATAGGATGGGGGCTTGGAAACAAAAGGGGATGCCAGCTGATTTCCAGAAACCATCAAAAAGATACTTGGCCTTGGAACCATGATGAAAAAGATGCATCATGCTTGCTGCCAAAAACAATGAATGCAATAGAAACAATTTAAACTTCTTCAACATCTTTTTTTGCCAGTTATAGCTCTGCCAAGGTTCACTAATCACCATTCAGTTTTTATGCTTTTTTCATTACACTGTCAAATAATCTTCCCTCTTTTATATCCTAAGGAAATACATGTCCTTCTCCTGAAAATGAAATAGTACATTGTATTATTTAATAAGTTGAAAACAAATCCTGAAAAGTTTTTGTGAAACTGTTCTCTAATAAAACTCTAAGAACTGTGATGTAAAGCAGGGAAAATATTTTACTGCAGTTATACTCAGCGCATTGTTAAATATGATTCTAATGCTAAGGTGGGAGGAAGAAGCACTTTGCCAAAATTTTTGTAACTTTCACCACCAAAGCAGTTTGCCCGTGGACGTACGTATCTACCAGTGCGTTGTGAAGTCTCATGACCATTCAGGAAGGAGGTGCCATCTTTCTCTTCTCAGGTGTCTCAAATAGGGAGTGGGAAAGGGATAGAGGTCACAGGCAAACCTCCTTCCAAGACTGTGGATGAGCTCATCATCAACCCCACCCTAGCATCCAGCTCAGCTTCTTAAGAATTTCACAGGCTCCAGCCCTCGGACCAGCCTCTTATCAGGTTCTCAAAACGGGAAAAAATAAAAGTGGATCCTCCCCACAAAAAAAAAAAAAAAAAAAAAAAAAAGGGAATTCTTACATTATACTATTATTTTAAACATGTTCCTGTTATGTAGTATAATCAAGGAAAAGAGCAGATTAGGATCTCAAGAATGACTTTTCCAAGAAGACTCTTCTAAATTAGTTTCCTTTTAAAATGTCCTTATAAATCCTTAAACAATTTTCAAAAAGACAGTTTTGTGGCAAGGATTAAACATATGCATTGCATAATTAACTCATTCCTAATAGAAAAGATATAGTAAAATATTGTGAGCTCTCTATGCTTTATCAGAAAACAAACTTTTCACCATGACAAGTCCTTTAGTTCAGTTCTTCAGGGATTCCACTTTATTTTAGCTTCTGTATAACAGTACTGCAAAGCTGTAATTACATTCTCTGTAATCAGCCCATTCCCAGTGTAATCAAGAGTGCCACAAATTTCAAGTTATGATCTCAGTGCTGAGGAGGAAAATGTGTGGAAGAGACAATTCATACTACATGTAAAATGACATTGTGTTATGCCAACAAATTTAAAACATTAAAGAAAAAAGTAATATTTTAATAGAATCATCATTTACGAGGGAACTATTATCTTCCTGATAGTTTTGGGTTTTTTTGAGATTTTATTGATTTATTTGACAGACAGAGAGAGATCACAAGTAGGCAGAGAGGCAGGCAGAGAGAGAGGAGGAAGCAGGCTCCCTGTTGAGCAGAGAGCTTGACGTGGGACTTGATCCCAGGACCCTGAGATCATGACCTGAGCCGAAGGCAGAGGCTTAACCCACTGAGCCACCCAGGCGCCCCCTGATAGTTTCTCTTCCATCATTTCTACCATCTGACTCTAATCAACTCTTTCCTATTAAACCCTGTACTCTTGCTGTATGGTATGACAACTCAACCCCTTCAGATGCCTTTCAATTCCCTTCATTCAACTGCCAGTCACTATGGGGATAAAGATATATGTGAGGTGAATGGTTCCTGGCACAATGTTATGCTAATGTAAACCATATTTTAATTGGCAGAAAGGTCCATCAGTGAAGTGTATAATTTCTAAGCAATGTGAATAAAATTTCATCTCAATTAAGAATCAAGAAATTGAGCATCAAACGTAATGTGCCACATATTATAAAGGTTCAGGCAAAACATTTTATAAATGTAACCATAGCCACATTAATAAGAAAGGACAACGGCAATAACTAACACTTACCAAATGCTTACTTTGTGCCAGCACTATAAGAATCTTAGACAAATTATCTCATTTAATTTTCACAAATGGCCAGTGAGGTAATACAATTATTGCCTCCATTTTTCTTATCAGGAAGCTGAAGCTCAAGGATGTTAAATAACTGCCCAGGTTAATTAGCTGGTAGAATACAGCCAGTATTGAAGCCAGGTCACCTTGAAACTCTGTTTTTTACAGCTTTCAGGCTAGACTGTCTACTGATTCTATTACACAGCAATTTAAACGAAGTATTTTTATCTTTACTCTTCCAGCAAGGCTCCTGGTGAACTACAACTATTACCAATCAACAAGGGGTTGGGGGAGAGGGAGTAGTGAAAGCAAAAAAGCAAGATAACTGCTTATCAAGATTCTCCTCTCCAATCAATTTCAGGAATTCCTTTCCATCAAATTCAGGAATTCCTTTCCATATTCTGTATAGCTGATCAATCTTTTTAAATTATACAAATGTTTAATGACAGCTGATAAGTTACTAAAGCACCAATCCAAAGTAGAATGCATTCTTCTATTTTTCAGACTAAAGAAGTTGATTGACCAAGAAACCGAGTCCCAGGAGAAGAAGGAGAAAGAAAAGGAAAAGAGGGTCACCGCCCTGAAACAGGAGCTGACCAAACTGAAGTCTTTTGCTTTGATGGTGGTGGACGAACAACAAAGGCTGATGGCACAGCTTGCCCTTCAAAGACAGAAAATCCAAGACCTAACCACAAGCGCAAAGGAAACACATGCTAAACTAGCCCTCGCTGAAACCCGAGTTCGGGAAGAAGAGCAGAAGGCAACCAGACTAGAGAAAGAACTGCAAACACAGACCACAAAGTCTGACCAGAACCAAGAAACAGTTATGGCAAAGCTCACCAATGAGGACAGTCAAAATCGTCAGCTTCGACAAAAGCTGGCAGCACTCAGCCGGCAAATTGATGAGTTAGAAGAGACAAACAGGTCTTTACGAAAAGCAGAAGAGGAGCTGCAAGATATAAAAGAAAAAATCAACAAGGGAGAATATGGAAACTGTGGTATCATGGCTGAGGTGGAGGAGCTCAGGAAACGTGTGCTAGAAATGGAAGGGAAGGATGAAGAACTCATAAAAATGGAGGAGCAGTGCAGAGATCTCAATAAGAGGCTTGAAAAGGAAACATCACAGAGTAAAGACTTCAAACTTGAGGTTGAAAAACTCAATAAAAGAATTATGGCTCTGGACAAATTAGAAGATGCCTTCAACAAAAGCAAACAAGAATGTTACTCTCTGAAATGCAGTTTAGAAAAAGAAAGGATGACCACAAAGGAGTTGTCTCAAGAACTGGAGAGTTTAAAAGTAAGAATCAAAGAGCTAGAAGCCATTGAAAGTCGGCTGGAAAAGACAGAATTCACCCTAAAAGAGGACTTAACTAAACTGAAAACATTAACTGTGATGCTGGTAGATGAAAGGAAAACAATGAGTGAAAAATTAAAGCAAACTGAAGATAAGTTACAAGCTGCTGCTTCTCAGCTTCAAATGGAGCAAAATAAAGTAGCAACAGTTACTGAGAAGTTAATTGAGGAAACAAAAAGGGCACTGAAGTCCAAAACTGATGTGGAAGAAAAAATGTACAGTGTCACCAAGGAGAGAGATGATCTAAAGAACAAACTGAAAGCGGAAGAAGAGAAAGGAAATGATCTCCTATCCAAAGTTAATCTGTTGAAAAATAGGCTTCAATCTTTGGAAGCAATTGAGAAAGATTTCCTAAAAAACAAATTAAATCAAGATTCTAGTAAGTCCACAACAGCATTACACCAAGAAAACAATAAGATTAAAGAACTCTCTCAAGAAGTGGAAAGACTGAGACTAAAGTTAAAGGATATGAAAGCCATTGAGGATGACCTTATGAAAACAGAAGATGAGTATGAGACTCTAGAACGAAGGTATGCTAATGAGCGAGATAAAGCTCAATTTTTATCTGAAGAGCTGGAACATGTTAAAATGGAACTTGAAAAGTACAAGTTAGCAGAAAAGACAGAGTCCAGCCATGAAGAGTGGCTTTTCAAACGGCTTCAAGAAGAAGAAGCGAAATCAGGGCACCTCTCAAGAGAAGTAGATGCACTGAAAGAGAAAATTCATGAATACATGGCAACTGAGGACCTCATATGTCATCTCCAGGGAGATCATTTGGTTCTACAAAAGAAACTCAATCAACAAGAAAACAGGAACAGAGATTTAGGAAGAGAGATTGAAAACCTCACTAAAGAGTTAGAGAGGTACCGGCATTTTAGTAAGAGCCTCAGGCCTAGTCTCAATGGAAGAATCACCTCTGACCCTCAAGTATTTTCTAAAGAAGTTCAGACAGAAGTGGCAGACAATGAGCCGCCCGATTACAAGAGTCTCATTCCTCTGGAACGAGCAGTCATCAATGGTCAGTTGTATGAAGAGAGTGAGGACCAGGACGAGGACCCTAATGATGAAGAATCCGTGCTGTCCTTCAAATGCAATTCATCTTCTCCCTGTCCTGTTAACAGGAAGCTATGGATTCCTTGGATGAAATCGAAGGAGAGCCATCCTCAGAATGGAAAAATACAAACTAAACCCAATGGCAATTTCATGCAACCTGGCGATCTAGTCCTAAGCCACACGCCTGGGCAGCCACTTCATATAAAAGTTACTCCAGACCATATCCAAAACACAGCCACTCTTGAAATCACAAGTCCGACTACAGAGAGTCCTCACTCTTACACAAGCACTGCAGTGATACCAAACTGTGGTACCCCAAAGCAAAGGATAACCATCCTCCAAAATGCCTCCATAACACCGGTGAAATCCAAAACTTCTGCTGAAGGCCTCATGAATATAGAGCAAAGTATGTCCCCAATTACTATGGCAACCTTTGCCAGAGCGCAGACCCCAGAGTCTTGTGGTTCTATAACTCCAGAAAGGACAATGTCACCTATTCAGGTTTTGGCTGTGACTGGTTCAGCAGGCTCTCCTGAGCAGGGACGTTCCCCAGAGCCAATAGAAATCAGTGCCAAGCATGCAATTTTCAGAGTCTCCCCTGACCGGCAGTCATCGTGGCAGTTTCAACGTTCAAACAGCAACAGTTCAAGTGTGATAACTACTGAGGATAATAAAATCCACATTCACTTAGGAAGTCCTTACATGCAAGCTGTAGCCAGCCCCGTGAGACCTGCCAGCCCTTCAACGCCACCACAGGATAACCGAACTCAAGGCTTAACTAATGGGGCACTAAACAAAACAACCAATAAAGTCACCAGCAGTATTACTATTACACCAACAGCCACACCTCTTCCTCGACAATCACAAATTACAGTAAGTAATATATATAACTGACGACTCTCACCCTCATCCAGTCTATAGTGATATTGTTGCAAGGAACTCAATCCTTTTTAATTATCCCTCCACATCCCCCAAAAGACTGACTGAACTTGTACTTTGGGAAGGTTTGTGCATGAACTATCCAAGAGTATCTGAAACTAACTGTTGCCTGCAATAGTCATATCAAGTGTGCACTTACTGTATATCTTTTCATTTACATACCTGTATGGAAAATATTTAGTCTGCACTTGTATAAATACATTTTTATGTATTTCATTTTCCATAACTCACATTAATTTCACTGCAACTTGTCTTGATGAAATACCTTAACATTTTATAGCAGTAAATAATGTTATTTTTACCATTGCTTGCTGAATTTTTTTTTTTTTTGGTCATTTTGTGTTATATTTTTGCATGTATAATAGAATTTTACTTTCTGTTCATAAGGTCTATTAATTCTTCCTTAAAAACAAGTAGGATCTACTTCCTACTTCCCATTACAGTCAACTTCTGATCACATGTTATTAGAGGAAGAGGAAGTGGTTCAAATAATAAAATTTATGTTTCTTTGATTTTAAAGTGAACTGTAAGATCTCTCAGGGGCAAACTTAACTTCCAGCTTCAGATGTATTTCAGTATCCCTGGTGCCGGGCAAAGTGCTTAGCACATATTAAGAACTTAATAAATGTTTACTGACACTAAGTGAATAAAATATATAATTTGCTTTTATAAGCACATATAAGCTAAAGGTGAAAGTAAAAATGAAATGTGACAGGAAGCCAGAAAAAGCACATTTGAAAACACAAGTTGCCTTGATAATCAAGAGTTGACTGTATTTCTATTACAGGTGAAAACCCCCATAACATATGTATTTCCATCTAAACATGAAATAAGCCACTATGATATATGCTCTTGAACACTGCTTCAAAGCAAAAATGTCATTCTTCTTTTTCTTTCCTTTCTGTTTCCTAAAATAGTTTGGATTATTTAAGGTAGATGGTTCCTACCTTGCTTGTAAATTAGCTATATTCAGAAGCTTACAATGTAATTGCATTTCTCCCCTACCTCTAAACAAACAAATAGAAACCAAAGATAGTTTTAAATACAAGTTATAGAAAGGCATATTTTTTAAAAAAATCATACATTATGTTAGTTGAAGAAAATTTATTCTGTGATTATTGTTATGCCACTTACAAGGTAAGTGAGAAAAACTCAGCTAAAGCATTCTAAGAATTCTGATACCTACCTTATAGGACTCTGAAAATAATCTATATTTCCATAACAGAGAACAACAGTTTTCAGAGGAACATTTTAAATTACAAATCTAGTCCCCAAGCCACATTCCCCAACCCCCCCCCCAAAAATTCAGACAAAATAGTTCATTACCAGTTTCCCTTTTTCCAACCTCATAAATGTTAATTTCATTTGGTCAATTTTACTGCCAGCTACTAATTTTAAACACAATTCATTTAGACACCCAGGCAAACTGAAGATCTTGAGAAGTAAAAGAAATCTTCCACAATTATACTCCTTTTCCCTGCAAAATCAATTTCATGATAAGAAAGCGAAGATTTGTTGACAGAAACACTTCCATGGTGATGAACTGCAACACCAATGCTGTGGGCTTGCATCATCATTAAATAAATTTGGATGAAAGCTGAGGCTGGTGATGAATGAGAAAGCTTCTGTTTAAACACATTTATCTTGGGAATCAGCAGTGACCCAACTGTATTACAAAATACATGATGGTCTAAATGTTTTTCAAAACGATTTTTATTTATTTATTTTAAAAGGTTTTGTTTATTTGAGAAAGAGAGAGAGAACGAGGGGGAGGGGGCTGGAAAGAGGGAGAGGGAGAAACAGAATCCCTGCTGAGCAGGGCTCTATCCTAGGATCCTGAGATTAGGATCTGAGCCCAAGGCAGATGCTTAACCAACTGAACCACATAGTTGCCCCAAAACTATTCTTATTTTTAAGTCACCTTGGGCTAGAATTTTAGAGGAAACTACATACTTAATTTATCATTTTTCCAAAGTAGACATTGATAATGCTATTGCATAAGATGCTTTTCTAGATAATAAGAGAGGGTACACATAACATTTTGGAGCATGACAGAAAGAAGAAAGAATGAAGAACAAAGTCTTTGCAGTGCTTCCCAACCTTTGTCACATAATGGCCTGGAGAGAAAATATGCCACCCCAGCTGCTGAGGGGAGATCCATTCCTGGCATACCTGTAACTAACAGGATTTGAAAAGCTCTGGGCTCTTCAATAGTTCAACCCTTTTGTAAGGATTCAATTTCTCATGTGAGCCAGAATAATTCTCTACAATAAAGTTAACACCACGGTACCTGTGCTCCATGATTATAAATGCAAATTCTCGTTTCATCACCTGCTCTAGGTATTTACTATAAATAGGCATCCCAAGTGATTAATGTGACTAGAAGTTTATTGGACTTTCAAGGAACTGAACCTCTTTAGAAGTTCCTCTACTGGGAGGATTACTTCAGTATAATAATTCACATCACCATCAGAATTTAGGAACATTGTCATATTAATAACATATATAGATTATTAAAAGTGTTAATAAATAAAATTTATGGTAAGGACAGCACCATTTCTGGGGAGGGGGGAAAGCATCTTCCCCTTTCCATAAAATCACACATTAAAAAGGAGCATCTTCCCATCACACATTCTAGACTTTTGGTCCTTAATTTCAAAATTAATTTTTTACTTAGTTTTTTCTAAAGATTTTATTTATTTATTTGACAGACAGAGCGAGCACAAGGAGGGGAAGCAGGCTCCCCACTGAGCAGGGAGCTGGACATGGGGCTCAATCCCGGGACCCTGGGATTGTGACCTGAGCTGAAGGCAGATGCTTAATCCAGGTGCCCCTCAAAATTAAATTTTTATATCCTGTATATGTTTGAAAGGTTATAGAACTTTCTTTTTCATTTGTATATAATCACAGAAGAACCTTGAAAGCTAGGAAGGAGGGAGGAAGTGACATTGGAAAATCTTCAGATGAGATATGTAAGGGTGGAAATTTGTTTTCTTGAAAGAAGGAGGCCAATAAGAGACTCATAGAAGACAGTTTTTAATATACATCTGATAAAATATCTTTCATTTTATATGAAGTCTCAGCTTCAGAATCAATTTTCATTTTACTCAGTCCCCTAGCTCTTTAAATTTTTAAGCTGCAGCATGCTACCATAGATTTAAATGATTTTCCATATTCTTCTGTCCTTTTAAGAACAAAGGCAAAATTTCCCCTGAGGATGCCTCTGTTCCCTGGGGGCAATGGTAAAAATAAAATCATCATCCTTACTAGGACAATGTGAATTACTACAGTTGGAACTTTACATATAAGGGAAGGTCTCTATACATTCAAGATAATGACAGGATTACATAAATATACTCAGAAGGTCTCCACAACTATAGTTCACAATGCCAAGACATTAAGACAGGTCTTCATGACACCCAAAGGATAAAAATCAGGTTGTACTATAAGATGGTCATAAAAGGGGTATTTCATTAAAAACTTTTTTAAACTTGGAGCCTAAGAATTTGATGATCTTTAATGAAGTAGAATTCCAGACAAAAACATGTTTTTGGTAGCTTCTTTGATCCTGAATCTTTACAGAGTGAGTCTCCTTTGAAACTTACTAGATAAAGGCAGGGAAAGATCTTTATAACAACATTCTATTTCCCTAAGCCTTGGTTTCTGTTATTGTTTTCCCCTCCAAAAATCATTTTGCTTTGCAATCCTAAGAGAAAACATAATCAGGCAAAAATGTATGCCCCAAACATTAAGATCTGTGTTTCTCAAAGTAAAATCCAAGATACATGTATGAGAATCTTGATGGTCCTATGAGGGTAGGACCCGGGAAGCTGTACAAATACCTCTGCTGATTAGTATGTATTCTAAAGTAGGAATTCCACTGTTTTAGAAATTCCCACATTGATAAACATTAGCAAACGTGTTCTGACAGTAGCCCTGCTCTATCAGAATGAATTACACCAGTCCAAGGAATTGTGACTATTCTGCTCTCTAGTGGCTGGCATGACAAACAGAAAGCTCATTCCCCAGATTTTCTTTTCACTCAGAAGAAAAGCTTAATAAAAACTACCATTGGGGCACCTGGGTGGCTCAGTGGGTTGAGCCTCTGCCTTCGGCTCGGGTCATGATCTCAGGGGCCTGGGATCGAGCCCCACATCAGGCTCTCTGCTCAGTGGGGAGCCTGCTTCCCCTTCTCTCTCTGCCTGCTGCTCTGCCTACTTCTGATCTCTCTCTGTCAAATAAATAAGATCTTTAAAAAAAAAAAAAAAACAAAAAAACCCCCTACCATTTATAAGGTGGAAAAGTTCCTACTTTTACAAATGTACCAAAGCATAGATGCCTGAATCTTTAGCTGAGCAGTAGCAGGCTGTCTGACACCTACAAGCTGTTTTTCCCTCAGATCTAGGGCCCCCAAAAGCCCTACAGCATTTCTTGGGAATGGTCCAGAACACACACTAAAGACAGCAGTTTGGATGAACCAAAACAAGGACTCCATTCACCTTAGGCCACAGTGGAGCAAATGCCAAGAAAGAGCAAGAAAGATAAGTGGTTCAATAAAGTCCCCAATCTCAAACCTCCTTTAATTCATTTTCATTTAGATTAAACTCCAAATCGCTTCCTTTCCAACGGATGGACCCTTCCACTGTGCAGTGAAATATATCAAAGCAGGCATCCCCACAAGGCAATACTGTAGGGTAAGAATCCTTAGGGAGTCCAACCAGTTAAATGGCCAACACTTCTAAGTACTTTATCATTTGATAATGAATTTTAACACTGTTCATATGGTAGCATATATAAATTCGTCAACATTCCATCAGGACACTAGTTTTTATACTTAAAATGGTGGCATAGGGACACCTGGGTGGCTCAGTCGGTTAAGCATCTGCCTTTGGCTCAGGTCATGATCCAAGGGCCTGGGATCAAGTCCTGAGTCA